AGAGAGAGCGCATGTTTTGAGTGTGAGCATTATAAGTTTTGAGTGCAAGAAGATGAAATTCTTTTCTCAAATTGAAATAATGTGCTCTTGCATTATGGCAGGATAATTCTCCCATAGAAAAAGTCAAAATTCTGAGATTAAAGTCTTCCTGTGTACTACTGCCACCATCTGGTGAGGAGTGTAACAGCAACAGGGTTGTAGATTTATTCTGTAAATTTGTTATTTGTGCTTGAAGTTTTAAAAAGTAATGAGCTGACAAGGGGGGAAAAAATGAAAACCTCTAATTTACGCATATTTCACTTGTATTTATAAATTCCGTCATTTACCTCACAGACATGTTTCATTTCTGATGTGGATCAGAGAGGCAACAAGTTCTCCAACTGTTAGGAACCCTGAGATGATCATGTGATAAATTAGTCGTCCTCCTCTTCCTTGCAGCAATATGAACATTGGGGGAATTATCTTCCCTTTGGAGCAGCAGTCCAGGGATGAAGAGTCAGTGGTTTATCACGGCCAATACGACACAGAGGGCGTCCCACATACGAAGAGCGGGGACCGCCAGCCCGTCCAAGTCAGCATTGAGGTGAGACGAGACACATGAAGCTGTAGAGGTTCAGGCAGTACATCCTCCAGTGAAGCAGGATTATAGATGAACTTATTACTTTGAATCTGGTGAAGGTTTGGCAGAGGTTTTCCTTCCCACTGTCCCTTCTTCTTTTCTTTCATGTTGTTCACATAGTTTATCCTCAGTAGATTTGAAATCAGGGATGCTCTTCCGCTTCTCTTAGTTTAATTTGATTAAAAGCATTGTGGAGGATTTTCGAGTTTTTTTTACAAGACTCGCCCTCACCACTTAAAAAAAAAAAAATGCACGTGCGAGAGCGTGCACAAGCCCATTTGTCCTCGTGCATGCTCTGTTTAAAAGTTGCTTTTCTAAGCTCATACAAGCTTACTGTGCCCGAACATCCAACCTAACCGTCTGCTGGATGCAGCCAGGACCCTGTCAGCATGATGGCGCAGCAGTTACTCATCTCCTTTTTTGAAGTTTGAGTCGCAGATGATCCATTTTGTTTTCCATCAGTGGACGTTGGAGAGCAGGATTGATGGAAGCGGCGGTCTGTGGGGATCTCTCTTTAGCTTCGCAGTTAGCCCCCCTCTGCAGCCTCGCTGTCTCCATCTCTCGCATCTCTTCCTCCATCCGTTATTTTCCACTGTTGTGTTGTTGACATCCGCCTGTAGCACTCCGCAGCTTTTTAAACGGTCAAAAATGTCTGTATTTAAAACATTTTGTGTCCGTAGCTCCAGCAGGTGTTGGCGATCATAGATGCGGGTTTGATGTCTAGTTTGTATCGTTTTAAGCAGCATATTTTGTGAAATTGTCAAGAGGAGCTGCTTTTGTCCGCTGCCTTGGAGCGCCGCCATGGTAACAAAGTTAAAAGTTGAAACTATATAGTGGATTTCATAGTGAACCCAGTTAACTGACCGTTCGGACAGATAATCACTACTTTTCTGCTCCCCGTTGGTCACGTAACCCCTCCTCCACCACACAGTGTCTGCGCCATCTTCGTTATTAGTCGCCCCTGTCAGGTAGCAGCAGCCTATGGCGACAGCGGGCCACTGTGACACCAAATCCCATAATGCTTTGTTAGGAGAGCTCTCCACACAAAGCATTCTGAGATATATTTGCCTCTTCTGAGGCCTTTCTTTTCTTCTCATACACTTGGTAGACACTTTTTCTCTTACAGCCCTCAGCCATTTTCAAAGAACCTCGGTGAGAAAGGTGAGCGCCGTAAAGTGCGCATGCGCAGAAAATGATAGCTAACAGGAGGAGCAATTAGGACGGCCTTACGTAAACATATCACCAGAATGATTGACAATTAGGAGGACCACTGATCCACGTGGAAATAAATCAATTCAATAGAATTAAGCTGAGTATGGAGGGATGGACATTTAATAAACTTCTCAATTAAAAAAGACTTTTGAGAGTAATTTATGGGTATGCAAAGGCTTAAACCAATATTTTTACAGGTTGCTTTCAAATTTTAATATTTTCAAATTTTTTTTCCAAATGTAATTTTTATTTATGTTCTCTTTTTTACAGAATAAAATTTTTTTCAGTCCCATTTTTTTTATATATTTCACGCAAATCTATTGATCTGTGCGCGGACCAATAGAAATGCTGATGCTAATATCCATGGAGAGTAGGCTTATTTCTATTGGTTCCTGCAATCATAAACCAAAAGAGTAGAGCTGAAATCTATAAAACCGGATTTGGAAATAATGCTGTTCATTAAAAAAACCTCAGGCTTATGGAGCCCCTAAAGGGACATGGAGGAAAAAATTAACTTTTGCGAGATTTTGCAAAACGTTTTGCGAAATGTCGCACAAGATTTTCCCATGTCAGGGAACCGGAAGTAAAACAGACACACAACAGTGAAGGAAACTATTGCAGGATCTCGCATGTCCCTCCATGTCCCTTTAGGGGCTCCGTACAGGCTCACCAAAAATGTGACAAAAATAAAATATACGAAAAGTATAATTAAAAAAAATAATCTACGAAACAAACTGTAAACATTTTTTGCTTACAAAATAAAAATACCACTTTTACAATTTTTTTTTTTTTACAATTTTTGTTTTTGACTTAACAGAAATTTGGACCAAATTTCTCTCTATAGCTGAGTTCCTTCCAGCAGTTCTGCTGGTGCATTAAACCCTGAGAAGGAGCAGGAGTTCTGATGTTGGGTCTGGTTTCTCTGACTGTCTCTGCAGTTCAACAAGGCTGGGACGTTCGAGACGGTCTGGCAGGCCAAGTACTACAACTACTACAAGAGGGAGCACTGCCAGTTCGGCAACAAGTTTACCAACATTGAGTACGAGTGCAAACCCAACGAAACGCGGACCCTGATGTGGATCAACAAGGAGGCGTTCAACTGAGCCGGACGTCAGCAGGACACACCGTCCCCCGTTTGTTTGTCCAGGTCCTGATGGTTGTTCTGTCCTACCAGCACCCCGATCAAGTCAGCTGTTTGCCCTTCTGGTCTCCAAATGAATGAAGCTGTTGGTCACAAAGTAGCTAAACTCAACACGATGTTCACTGAAGACCAGAAAAAATAACAGCTGAGTTCTGTTGAAAAGTTCTGATCCAGTCCCTGTTCTTCTCCTAAGCAGCCATTCTTCCTTGAACTGTTAAACTGGTGAACGGTTCTCCTGGGTTTGTGAAGTTACACAGTTCCTTCAGGGCGTTCTGGTTCTGCTTGGCATGTCGGCTCACCTCCCTCACTGCTAGAGATCCATCCTTCCACCGTTCAGGACCACCAGAACACCCATGACCATGGTTTTTCTGGCACCTTGGGAGAAAAATCAAGACTGGATGGGAACTTTTTACCAGGACTGGATCAGATTGTGGTCCACGAGGCAGATGATGTTTGAGTGTTCTGATCATTTATTTGTATGTTTTGGTTTAAAATGAGAAACTCGCCTTTAATAACGGAATCATGGAAAATAAAGGAGCTTCTTTGTTGAGCCTTGGAGCGTTTTTCCGGGACTATTTTCAGCAGCGGATGAATCCCGTCGTCCTGTTGAACACCCCCAGGCTTCTTCTCCTTCAAACGGTGCTTTTCTGTCTGCTGCAGCTCCTGATTTCTCTGCACTTGAAGCTACATTTTGCCAAATTTGATCTGTTGCTTGTTGTTTTGTATTTAGCTGTAGTGTAGCTGTGAATAAAGCAGTGTCCTGAACATCCAGAACCGGGTCCAGCATCTCGGGGCGGTTCCTCAGAGTCTGTGGAACCTGAGTGGATCAACCTGATGGATCTCTTCTTTTTCCTAAATCTCTTAGTCAACATGTCCTTATGCCAATGAAAAAATATATAAATCCTAAGAACCGTGTCACTGAAACAGAATTTTTTATGAAATAAATCAATCAAAGGCAATTGAGAATTAAGCTAACAGGGACCAGGCCTGGTTATTGTAATGATTACAAAACAAGCAGGTGTGTAAAATCAAAAGATCAAAAGTTTTCATTAGATTAAATTCTCTGATCTTATTTAACCGGATCTTTTCTGTGTTGTGTTGGTTAATTGTGAATCTATGAGGTTTATCTGGTTATTCTGAGTTGGACAAACAGAAAACAACTGCTTAACGGTCATACGCTCCAAGTCCTAAGGCTCCACTATCAGTTCCAACAATAGTTATTTCCAATGTAAATACCATACAGTAAAAATACTGTAAGCTGTTTAGTTTTAATACATAAAATATGCTAAAGTATGCTAGCTCCTGTGGTGCTACCTTCGTACAATCAAAACAGCTGTTGTGATTTTATGTTCTTTTCTATTCCCAGCCCGCTGGGAATTTATGTTTCTGATACTTTAAGATGTTTATTGCCCTCCCCTGNTTCCTTAATCTATAAAGATCTTTTTATTGCCTTTATTTCCCAATAATCCTTTAAGACTCCATTCTTGGCCTGTCCTTTCAACTCTTTTCAATTTCTTCCTTTCAGGTTCATATGTTTTGCAGTTCATCAATTGTTCTACATTTTCTATCTCTCCACATCCTTCACATTTGTCATTATTTTTCCTCCCTATTAAGTATAAATTGTCATTTAAATAAGTATGACCTACTCTTAATCTGATCATTATTATTTCTTCCCTTCGGTTTCTCTCATTAATATTTCTGTTTAATACTGACTTTTTTACTTTATATAACCTTCTTCCTTTTTTATCTTCATTCCACCTTTTTTTGCCATTTTTGTCTGCCTAATTATTTCCTTTTACCCCTTCATGTGCTGGAACCCAACAAAACCAAATATCAATGCCACTCCTGTATAATCTAAATAAACTGTGCTGAATTTCTAATACTAAATCTTTCCTATTATTTCCTTCTCCCTGAATACTTTCTAAAACTGCTTTGAAATCCGTGCATACCACCACCCTGTCTGCTCTGACCTCCTCAACCCATTGGAAACTCAGTATAACTGCCACCATCTCTGCGGTGAAAACAGATAGTTGATCTGAAATTCTTTTAGAAATGTGTATTTTGAACTCTGGTAAATAAATACCTATTCCCACACACCCTTTTAAATTCTTAGAACCATCAGAATATATTTTAAGGTAATTATAATATGAGTTTGCTTGTTGGAATCATTAACTGCTTTAAAAAATATTATTATTATTATTACTAAGCTTTTCTAAGAATTTAAAAGGGTGTGTGGGAACAGGAATATATGTACCAGATTTCAAAATACACATTTCTAAAAGAATTTCAGATCAACTATCTGTTTTCACCGCAGAGATGGTGGCAGTTATACTGAGTTTCCAATGGGGGGAGGAGGTCAGAGCAGACAGGGTGGTGGTCTGCATGGATTCCAAAGCAGTTTTAGAAAGTATTCAGGGAGAAGGAAATAATAGGAAAGATTTAGTATTAGAAATTCAGCACAGTTTATTTAGATTATACAGGAGTGGCATTGATATTTGGTTTTGTTGGGTTCCAGCACATGAAGGGGTAAAAGGAAATAATTAGGCAGACAAATTAGCAAAAAGGGCTTTAGAGGAGGCAATAACAATTACAATTCCTTTAGGGAAAGGGGAAGGAAAATCATTTATTAAGAGGAAAGAAATTGAAAAATATCAAAAAAAAGGTGGAATGAAGATAAAAAAGGAAGAAGATTATATAAAGTACAAAAGTCAGTATTAACTAGAAATATTAATGAGAGAAACCGAAGGGAAGAAATAATAAT